AGAACACCAGGCCAAGCAGAATGAGCGCAAGGAGCTGCAGGGTGAGCCGAATCTCCTGTCGGCCTTTTCCTCCCCGGCCGCGGCCTAGCTTCTACCGGAGGCCTAGACCTCAAGTAACAGCCCAGATCCAGGGAAGGGCTAGGGCTGACGGGCAGCGGGGGTGGAGGAGAGAGAATAGGGGGCGGCTTTTTTGGAATTTCGTTCTGGGACCCACAGTCTCCGGTCCTTTTGGCAACTCTCCAGTGCCCTCGGCAACGCCCCCAATCCCGCCTTGGCGTCATCCTAACCCCGCCCCTTGCTCAGGGGCGCCTTGCCATTGGTCCGGGGGGGAGGGGCCTCTCATACTGGAAGTGGGAAGGGACAGTCCTGGAGAAAGGAGTGTGTCAGGGACCTCCCAGAGACTGGATTCTAGGAGGCCCGAAACCACCCAGGAGGAGATGAGGCACTGCTTTTCCTGAATCTAGGCTGAGAATCCCGGAGTTATAGATCCTTTAGCCAAGTCAATGGAGAAAGAAGGCCTGGGAGTCAGGAGTCCTGGGCGCTGGAACTGACCGGTTGGCATCCCTGAGCGCTTCCGTTCCCCTCTCAGGGTATCATTTTCTCATCTCTAAAATTAAATGAGATTGCTTTATGTTTTGCAAGATCCTTTTCGGCTAGGGCATTCCCAGATTAGTTGGATGTTTGGGGAACTAGCAGAATAGTAATGGGTGGGTGAGGAACTCATGGCACCACCCTCAAAAACCATGTCTCCAATCCCTTTTCCCCCACACCCAGAGAAGAGGAGGCGTGAGGCTATCACTGCAGCGACCTGCCTGACAGAAGCTTTGGTGGATCACCTCAATGTGGGGTATGAACCTCTTCCTATGAACACAGGCTCCCTCCCCCACCCTCCCCCAAGTCAGACACTAACAAGGTGTCTGACCCTTAGGCTGTTTTAAAGGGTTGGGATGTCCCATTTGTTCCCCTATCCTACCCTGACCTCCCAGTTCAACTTTGTGGAGAGAGGTTGGAGTCAGCTCTGACCACTAACACGGTGTGAGGGAGGAGCAGCTGCCGTGGTTGGAGAAGCAGCCAGATTTCCCCCTCCTCACATTAACTTGCCTGGCACTTAACAACGTGATGCCATCTGCCCACATCCCTTTGCCCTTGCAAGTCCAGCTGTCACTTCTGTGGGAGAGAGAACACCCTCCTTCACCACAGCTTACCACCCTCTCCTTCTTCACCTCCCACCCTCTGGCAAGCCTGAGCAACAGCTGGCAGGAAAGGGATGGCACAGCTGGTGGGGGTGAAGGTGGAACCTATGCCAGGAGCTAGGGCAGAGCCAGGCTGTCTCTTAGCCTCCTTCTGAGTCTCCAGAGATGACCCCTACAACAGCCTTAAATGAGAATGCCAATAATCGCCAAAGACTTGGGAAGGAACAAAGAACATTGTCTCCTGACCCTGAGTGACCCAGAAGAGTTCAGAGGTTTTGATTTGATCCTCTGTTGGAAGAAAGGAGGCAGTGTGGTGCCTTCCACCCTAGGGCAAGTGAAAGAACTTGGTTGTGAATCCAGAGACTGAGTCATCCTAGGGAGTCATGCAGGGGCTGGGGTCATCTTCATTACTCATCTGGGGGGAGATGAGGGAAAAGGAAGCCTGTGGCTGTGGTTGGGATCTCTAATTTCCCTTCCCTCCAGGCAGCTCTCTTCACTCAGTGCTGTTTCCCAAAGAGGAGGGGCAGGTTTTTGTCTCTTCTCCCTCCCACATTGGTGCCTCCTGGGCTATACTGTGCCACCATTTGTGCAGTTGGCCCAGGCTTTTCTCTTTTCTAGAAGCTACCCCACTTTCAGCTTGGAGGGCAGCTAAGCCAAAGCCAGATTAGAAAGGGTTTTGTGTTGCTGCCCACGGCTCCTCTTATTCTCCAGAAAGAAAAACAAAGACTCAGTCTATCTCAGCCCTTGTCAGGTGTCCTGCCCACTCTCGTGACCGCCYCCCATCCCTGTCTCCTTCAGCCCCCACACATTCCTGTGGGTGGGGGCACCGGATGTGGATTCTCCTGGCTGACCTAGAGCTTTGGGGTAGGGGGGTGAAAGATTAATTGGCCAATAAGGAAAGGCGAATAATCATTGCAGGGGAGGGGGAAGCAAAAAATATTGTTAGAGGATTGGGGACACCAACCCAGTAATAGCAATGGAAACTGCTGCCAGTTAACCTTGGTTGAGGAGAAGAGAAAATGATTGCCTGGAGAAGAAGAGAGGCAGTGTGTGTGTTTTCTTTCATCTGTGTGGGCAAAAGAAGAGTTAGAGGAGAGATCCAAGAAGAAACCCCTTGATATTCTCTCCTGACCCAGGGTTTCTGGGGAGAGGGGGTTGCTCTCCCACCCTTCCCCAGATTCAGAGAGGGGCTCAATTCTCTTCCCAACTTCTTACATAGATCCCTGGACTTCCAGTCATTGCCAGATGTGTCCCTGCTGCAAGATTTTCCCAGCATCACCATACCCTCATTTCCCTCAGGGATGTCCCTCCAGGTTAACCCTCCCTTTCCCCGACCCAGCTGCAGGAACTCCTTTGGGGAATAGGAGATGGTATGTTTCTAGTCAGCTCTCAACTTGGCTCTCCTGGGAATCCTGGGAGTGGAGTAAAGAGCTGGCTTCATTTGCATGTACTGGCAGTCATTTGTATCACATATATGAAGAGCCAAAATCTTAAGATTTTCCCAGCCCTAACTCCTAACTGGCCTCCCAATTACAGTGGAATATTAGTTCTGGAGACCACCCCCCACAAGTTGGATGAGCTAATCTCCTCCCTCCTCCAACCCTTAGTGTGGCCCAGGCCTACATGAACCAAAGAAAGCTGGACCATGAGGTGAAGACCCTTCAGGTCCAGGCTGCCCAATTTGCCAAGCAGACAGGCCAGTGGATCGGGATGGTGGAGAACTTCAACCAAGCACTAAAGGTGGGCCACATTCCCCATGTCACAACCCTATCAGAACCCTCAATAGCTGCCTCCAGTCTGATTACCTCAGGCCTTGGATTAAGGAGGAAGTGGGTACTGTCCCAGGTACTTCATCTATGGTTACAGTGTCAGAGAAGCTAGAGAAAGAAATAAAAGCAGGGGCTGGGTGGTAGAAGTAGCTCATTAGTAGAGGGCCAATCCCTAAACTAACAAAAAAAAGAAAGAAAGAAAGAAAGAAAGAAAAAGTGCTCAGCAGGGCACAGTGGCACATGCCTATAATCCCAGCAGCTCTGAGGCAGGAGGATGGAGAGTTCAAAGACAATTTCAGCAACTTAGTGAGGCCCTAAGCAACGCAGCAAGACCCTGTCTCTAACTAATATATAAAAATGGGGTTCAAACCTTGGTACCAAAAAGAAAAAGTACTCAGAACATCCTCAGTTCTGTGAAGTACACCTATAGTCCCAGCTACTCAAAAGGGTTGGGGCAGGAAGACCTTTTGGGTTAGCAGAGGGTGGGAAGGCCAATCTGGACAAAAAAGAAAGAAAAGAGGGCCTGGGGATGTGGCTCAAGCGGTAACGCGCTCACCTGGCATGTGTGTGGCCCAGGTTCGATCCTCAGCACCACATACAAACAAAGATGTTGTGTCTGCCGAAAACTAAAAAATAAATATTATTAAAAAAAAAAAGAAAGAAAAGAGCTAGGTGCAGTGACAGACTCCTGTAATCCCAGCAACATGGGAGGCTGAGGCAAAATGATCGTAAGTTCTAGGCCAGCCTCAACAACTTAGTGAGACCCTGTCTCAAGATTTAAAGTTCTTTTAAAAGGGCTGGGGGTGGCTGGAGATGTGGCTGAAGCAGTAGCGTGCTCGCCTGGCATGCGTGCGGCCCGGGTTCGGTCCTTAGCACCACATACAAACAAAGATGTTGTGTCCACCGAATACTAAAAAATAAAATATTAAAAAATATTTAAAATAAATAAATAAATAATAAAAATAAAAGGGCTGGGGATATAGCTCAGTGGTAGAGCGTCCCTGGGTTCAATCTACTACCAAAAAAAAGAAAAAAGAAGTACAATCCATTAGTCCATTAGTAGATCCAAGTAAAGACCTTTCCAGATGAATGAAAAATGTTCCCACATTGGGAAACACTCTACCCACCCTACCCATCCTGATTCCTGGATTCCATCCCTCCTGTCATCCTTCCCAGGAAATAGGGGATGTGGAGAACTGGGCTCGGAGCATCGAACTGGATATGCGCACAATTGCCACTGCACTGGAATATGTCTACAAAGGACAGCTACAGTCTGCCCCCTCCTAGCCCCTCTGTCTGACCCCTCATGCCTCACCCACAGAGGCAGGAGGGAGACTGACAGGTAACCGATGAATAAAACTGAAGTGTCCATTTCTATRTGGTGTGTGTCAAGGAACGACTAGCTTCAGTGTGAGGATGGAAGTAGAGGATTCCCTGAGGGAGAAGGGCCTTTCTGATAGAGGGTGGAACTAGCTTCATCTTTACAATCCCATACAAGTACCTTTTGGGTTAGCAGAGGGTGGGAAGTTTTCCACACCTCTGGAGAGAAGGTCCTGGTGATTCCTGCCCCATGCTTCCTAGTTCCAAACTTCAGTTTCCTGCAGAGGAGAAATAAGACAAGGAGCAGGCCTATTTCCCAGCTCTGGCTTTCTGCCTTTCCACGTGCTCGCGGCCTCTCCCAGGCTGGCACTAAGCAGTGTCATGAGTCTGGACCAGGTGAGAGATTAATTCTTGGGGGCACTTCAGGACAGAGAAGGGAGAGGAATGACAGTTTCAGGGCCACCAACAGAGAGGAGAAGCTGCCATCCTTGACAGCTTCCTTTTCCTGGGAGACCATGGCATAAATGATCAGGAACCCAGGCTGAGAAAGACAGCCCAGGAGGTGGCTTGGGCAAATCTGGCTTCTGCCAAACCCTAGCTTCGGTCAGATAGGCTCCAGCCTCCCTAGCTCCTCCTCCTCAGCCCTCCCCTTTCTCATCACATTTACACTTAACACTCCTGACGCCCAAGTCCACCCACTCTGGACTTTGGGCTTAGCTGCTGCTAGTGTGGGAGACTGGGAAGACGGAAAGCAAAGTCTCTTAAACAGAAACAAAGGGAGCAGCTTCATACGTTGTAATATCTACCAGCTTTCCCCAGAGTAGGTAAGTGGGACAGTGGGAGTTGTGGGTGCTACAGGAAGACTGGATATGCTTCTTCATACATTATCTCTGATCCTCCACAATTCTGAGTGGGCCTGGTGGGTGGTAACCCAGCTTGCTAGCTGAGAAAACAGGTTCAGAGATGCAGAAAGATACCTACCATTACACAGCAAGTTTGGGGCCATCATGACTGAAATGCAGGGCTCTTAGCCCTATATGTGGTTCTATAAATAAGGCTCAGGTTACACTTAGAGGTTTCCAGTGCCCCTGGTTTAGTAGGAGAAAAGGTGTGAGAACAAACAAGATACCTCTGTTCCCATGGGGCAGGTCTGCACACAGAACCTAGCTCATCTTTTTAGTTATCCACAAATATAGGGTCTGCCCACATCTTTGTTTTGCACAATAAGCCATACTTGGCCAATTATCTGCCAATCAGATAATTTTTCAATCTGCTCAGACCAGACACTTTAGCTAAGGAGGATGTTAGAGGCCCAGGCTTTGGGGCCAAAATAAAGAACAAGCCTTCCTGCCCAGCTTGGGCTGCCACCTGCAGGTCATTTGGGTCCAGCCATGTGGCTACTTCTGTTGCTGGGTGCCTTGTTCTGGGCAGTGCTGTGGTTTCTGAGGGACCAGCAAAGCCTGCCTGCCAGCGATGCCTTCATCTTCATCACCGGCTGTGACTCAGGCTTCGGGCGCCTTCTGGCACTACGACTGGACCAGAGGGGCTTCCGAGTCTTGGCCAGCTGCCTGACCCCCTCTGGGGCAGAGAACCTACAGCAGATGGCCTCCTCCCGCCTCCACACCACCCTGCTGGATGTCACTGATCCCCAAAGTGTCCAGCGGGTAGCCAAATGGGTGGAGACACATGTTAGGGAAGCAGGTGAGTATGGTAGAGCCACCAGGAACATGGTATGGGGTGTTCCTGGTTCCCACAATAACCCCCAGAGTCCCTTGCAAGAGCTGTGGGAAGCTAGAGGCACCAGTGGGGAGGAGCAGTGTTCAGATCCTCCCATGAAGGAGAGGACATGGAAGTGTCTCATTCCCCCCCAACACACACACAAAACCCATCTCATCTCCCCACAGGGCTTTTTGGTCTGGTGAATAATGCTGGTGTGGCTGGTATCATCGGACCCACACCATGGCTGCCATGGGATGATTTCCATCGGGTGCTGAATGTGAACACTCTGGGTCCTATCGGGGTCACCCTTGCCCTATTGCCGATGCTACAGCGGGCCCGAGGCCGGGTGGTCAACATCACCAGCGTCCTGGGTCGCCTGGCAGCCAATGGCGGGGGCTACTGTGTCTCCAAGTTTGGCCTGGAGGCCTTCTCTGACAGCCTGAGGTGAGGGGTGCAGAGCTCTGGGCTCCAAGCCAAGGGGCAGCCCACTCAACATTCATGTTAGTGCCTGTTTGGCATTGATCCACAGAGATGATTAGGACAACACCATGGAAGGTTGACAAGGAGACAGGTTAGGGCTGGACTTCATAGGTTCATAACCCAGCTTGTTTGTAAGCTTTATGACCTTAGGTAGGTTACTATCTTTATCCAGTCTTTCCTCACCTGTCAAATCAGGATAAGAAGACCTGCCTCATGGATATTGGGAATGAAATGAGGTACATGGAAGAACTCAACATAATAAATGTTCAAAAAAAAAAAAAAACCCTGCTATCATCAGGAGTAAAGAAGGAAAACTACTAACAGCTATTTGAGTGAGCAAGTAGCTTTACATTACATTTTCTCATTTAATCCTCCCAACAATCCTATAAAGGTAGATATTAATACAAAGCTCGTTAGTGGAAGTACTGGGATCTCCATCCCCAGGTCTGCTTGCCTCGGGAACTTGGTCATTATATTCTTCAGCCCTTCATCTTTAAACAATAATGTTCAAAAGCTCCATGGAAGCACAAAGGAGTCTTGATAAGGATAGCAGGGCCTGAATTTAAAGCAGAAGCCCAAGTTGTACAAGCTGAGCCCACCTTTTAAGAAAGCTTGCCCTTACCACCATCACTCAGCAGATCATTTTTGTCCTTGTCTCTTAGTCTTTAATTTTTTTTTTTAAAGAGAGAGAGAGGAGAGAGAGAGAGAGAGAGAGAATTTTTAATATTTATTTTTTAGTTCTCGGAGGACACAACATCTTTGTTGGTACGTGGTGCTGAGGATCGAACCTGGGCCCGCATGCATGCCAGAGGAGCGCGCTACCGCCTGAGCCACATTCCCAGCCCCTAGTCTTTTATTTTTTRAAAAAAATAATTTTTAGTTACACGTGGACACAATATCTTTATTTTGTTTATTTATTTTTATGTGGTGCTGAGGATCAAACCCAGTACTTCACATATGCAAGGCAAGCGCTCTTGGTCTTTAATTTTGTAATTGGCATCATGTAACACATACTTTTTACTTAGATCTGTACATCTGGGCAAGGGCAGTGGGATATATCACCACTTTCCCCATTAGATTACATGTCCATGTAATCTCATATTTTGGGRGCTAGGGAATGGGGTTTCTTTAGATCAAGATTGGCAAGCAGCCTTTCTCAGGCCAAATCTTGCCAATAATGGTTTTTGCATTTTTAAAGAGTTACTTTGTAAATGGTTATATAACTACCTAGTAATATCATTAACTTTGTTTCTTGGCCTACAGCACACAAAATATTTGCTATCAGGCCTTTTAATAAAGTTTTCTGGCCCTTGCTCTAAATTATAGATAGGAAAAAATACCTCCCTCTGGGTAGAGGCATAACTCGGTGATAACACACTGGACTAGCATACACAATCGCCTGGGTTTGACTTCCACCGTACACAATACCTCCCTTCCATTACCCCACTTGCCCCTTGTCCCAGAACAGCAGGGATCTCTCTTTTTACCAGGACTCATATCCCTAGCCTGTGATAACTGTCCATCTTAGATTCCCCACCTATGTTCCTGAAAGTACCCTCCCTATAGAGCAAGAACCCAGAAACCTCTCTACCCACACTCCAGGCGGGATGTGGCTTCTTTTGGGGTACGAGTCTCCATCGTGGAGSCTGGCTTCTTCCGAACCCCTGTGACCAGCCTGGAGAATTTGGAGAACACCCTGCAGGCCTGCTGGGCGCGACTACCTCCAGCCACACAGGCTCACTATGGGGAGGCCTTCCTTACCAAGTGTGAGTAGCTGGGCACATACAGGGGTWCATGAAGAGAAATGAGAAGGCCAGTAAGGCCAGACCCTCATCAGCTGGGAGGAGGAGGTGGGCAAGCTTATAAATGGAAGGCCCCAGGAAAGTGTCCAGGCCAGTTAGAACCTGCCCACTCCCCAAAATGGAGAAGGAACTTAAGAGTCATCTCTACTGGGCAACAAGCCCAAGGATCTAGAAAATAGGACCTAAGATGGGATGGAGTCAGGAAAGGATACTAACTGCAACCATTCATGGGGCTGCAGACCTGAAAGTGCAGCGGCGCATCATGAACCTGATCTGTGACCCGGACCTAACCAAGGTGAGCAGATGTGTGGAGCATGCCCTGACTGCTTGTCACCCCCGAACCCGCTACAGCCCAGGCTGGGACGCCAAGCTGCTCTGGCTGCCTGCTTCCTACCTGCCAGCCAGCCTGGTGGATGCTGTGCTTGCCTGGGTCCTTCCCAAGCCCTCCCAGTCAGTCTACTGAATCTACCCTTCCAGGAACAGATTGTTTTTCAAGGGCAAGGACTTGTATTTCGGTCCCACCCCCCCCCCCCCGGCATTTCCTGGTGCCTGGTACAAAATAGACAATAAACGTATATTGTTAAAAAAAATTTAAAAACACAGTAGGTGGGCAAAATGAATGTGTCCAGTGGGAGACTGACCCCATTTAAGGGCTAATTACCCTAAGCTGTTTTACTGCCCAAAGTCTCTAGCCTGTTCAGTGCCTGCAAAACAGCTAGCACCCACTGGGGGACATAAGGGAATTGCCTTGCAACTGTAAGTGATATTTGAAACTGCAGGGGGAAGGGTGACCACTAGAAGGCGTTTTTCTATATAAGAGTATTATCTATTTTTCCTCAGGGGAAGAGAAGGTGATGAAGAGGGTTCAGGGCCAGCTTGGGTGTTTTTCATGTAAGGCAGTACTCACTTAAATTCACCTGAGTGAAGAATGAGGGACACAGGCCATACAGGTCTCAAGCATCTTATCACCACTCTGAAAGGGGCAAACTCCCCTTGAGGACTAGAGGGGGAAGGAGTTTGCTGGCCCTCAGAGGTGTACAGAAGACCAGAAAGATGTACATAGTGGATCTGGACTGGGCTCTACCAGGTAGGACCTTTGTGGAAAATCCCTTTGGCTTATACAAGAGATGGCTTCATGTATGTTCCAGTGCTAAGCCTGGGAGCACAAAAAAGGAAAGGCACTTGGCCACAACCTCCTCTAGATCCTCACTTCTCTCACCCCCAGTCCTACCCACACCTTTAGCAAAATTCTCCTTTCCCAAACACCCGCCAAATCAGGCCTGCCTTTCCCAGAGCTGCACACAGAGAAAGTTTTCAGAGGACAGGGAATATGGAAGATGAGAGAAAATGGATCAAGGATCACTCTACAACAAACTGAAACCATCTCTTTTTGGTCTGAAAAAATAATCCATTTAATTGGAAAACCTGAAAGATTCTATTCCACACCCCTAGAGGGGCTAAAGAAACCAGACCCGCCTACATTACTTCATATCCACTTCGGATACTCTTCACAAGGCAACAGGCAAAGACAATTCCTAGGACCTAGAAAGAAAGATGGAGTAGAGGGTAGAGAAGATTCAGAATGTCAARCTATCCAGGACACACCCACAGGATCCCAAACACAACCAAAGCTCCCTACCCCACTAACCAGTACCTCTTGTTCAGCACCCTCCTCCCTATTTCCCCTGTCCCCACCCAAGAGGTCCCAGCCCCTGCCCAGGGCACCTCACCTCTACAAAAGCAATGCCCAGAGCTGCTGCAGCCACCAGCAGCACATTCTCCCTCAGCCACATGCCAATCTTCTCCACACAGCCCTGCAGGAAGGCAGGCACACAAGGCAAAAGACCATCAGAAACTTCATACACATTTTCATCAGCCCCTCCTGTCTCTTCTCGACCCCTCTGTCCTTTTCCCCACCCTTTGCATTCTCACAGCCCTCCCCATCCCTGACCATGTAAACTGTCCTACCTCCTAAACATTTCCCAGATTTCCCAAGTCCTATATTATCTCAATCTTCCCCCAACCTGGGTATTGATTGCACGCAGGTCGAAATCAGTTCCACAGCGTGCAGTGACATTGATGCAGCAGGAGTCAGGGACTCGGTCCTTCCCCATACCGGGTATGTTCTCCCAATCTGTGTAGTTAGCAGCCCCACAGCAGTTAAACTGGAAGTGGAGAAATATGGGAGGAAATATGCTAAGTGAATCACCATCTTCAGTAGAGAGACAAGAATCCCCTTCCCCCATTACTTCTGTTCCCAGCAGCCCCACTCACCTCTTCCTGCATCTTGTCCAGCAATGAAGCTGTACCATTGTTTTTCGGGTAATTCTGCATCTGCTGCTGGAAGTTCTTATTAAACTCTGTTTTGACCTTAGAATAGGAAATAGAGTTGCTGAGAGCAGAATTCAGGCCACTGAGTCCCAGAGCAGCACAAAGCAGGGGTCTCCCTTTATGCCCTGCTTACCTTGTCTTTAAACACGTAGCCAGCAATGGCCACGGCCACCTCCACTAGCATGATAAGAGTGAGGAAGATGGCAAACTGCAAGAGCAAAGGAAGGGAGTCAAGTATGGAGTCTGGATGAGAAAGACCTGCTCTGGTCCAGCCAGTCCCTGGAAAACTTACAGAGGTCCCCAACTTACCCACCCTAGTTAGCCCTAACCATAGAAATTTTTTTGCTTTCTGGCACTCCCAGGCACCGATGCTGGTCCCACATCCCACTCACCGTCATCATAAGACAGTAGTTCTCCTTGCAGGCCCCACAGCAGCCCACAAAGGCCACCAGGAAGAGGAAGGCACCCACTACAATGATGACCACAGGCAAGAGAGTACCAGGAGTAGCCCCGTGGGTTATGGTTTGATTCAGGACAAGCTGGACTTTTACACCCACAACGATCAATCCCACTGCAAAGGCCTGAAGGGGAAGGCAAATGAGGGTTAGGCCAGAACCACAATACAGCAGCACAGGGACACAGACCAATCCAGGAGAGAGATTCTCACACCACCAGGGAACTTTGGATTGGGAACAGGGAGATACTCCACTCTTGACCCTGGGGATCTGTTCAAAGCACTCGGAGAAGGGGGAAGCCAGGCCTTCCTTTAGACAGCTCTTCAGCCAGGGGGTGACCAGAAGCAAAAAAGAGAAGTACATAGAAAGCCTTGACCCCAGGGCACACACATTCCTGACCTAAAAGTAGCACATTTTATGGGCCCCCAGGGCTCCTGGCCAGATTCTCTCTCAGATCTGCACCCTCACTACCCTCCAATAACTAAGGTCTTCAAGACAGGGAGGAGAAAGCAGGAAAAGGGGGCAAGGGTGGTGTGCCCCTCCCTGAACAAACAGTAGCCTCTCAGGCCAGGATCCCAGGGAGGAGTCCGGGGCAAGAACCAATTAGGGTGGGCAGAGCTCTTCCTCATCCCCAACCGATAGGGGAAAAGTGGGAAAAGGGAATGGAAAGGGATGAGCAGGGTGGGGAGTGGAGGAAAGCCTCGTGGAGATAGCATCAGGCCGTTGGCGGTTGCCCCACTGCTCCATATCACAAGTGGTTGGGTCACCAGACAGGAAGGGCCAGGAGAAGTGGGGGTGGGGGTGCTGCACATCCAGTTTGGCCATTCTCGGTCCAAACTAGCCTCAGGAGTCCCTGAAAGCTGGAGGAGGGAGTATCCGCTCCTCCTTCGGCCCTTTCCCCGGGCTTTCTTTCCACATCTGGTCTCCAGCTGCTTTCATTCTTGGTCCCTCAGCCCTCACCACTCCTGTGCCTGGGCTCCCTGCACCCCGCCAGAGCGCCCCCATCGCTCCCCTTCCCCACTCACGCAAAAGGCCAGCAGAAGAACGTAGAGCAAGAACTTGACACATTTCATTCCTCCTTCCATCGCCATGGCTGCTGGGCCTGGGGCCGAGGGAGGGCGGGTGGAGAGGAATTAGAACAGGCCGAGGGGGGCCAGGGCTTCCGGGCTCCCCGCCGCCCTCAAGGCCTTCCCAGCCCGACCTCCATTCCCCGCCCCTCCCACCCGGAAACCCGCGGTCAGATCCACGTCTCCCAGACCCCTCTGCTCCGMGGCCAGAGAGGTGTGAGGGCGACAGCCCGGACCTCCCCCGCAGCCACCGGAGCTCGGGACAGACGCGAGGGCACCCACAGAGGCTCGAGCCTGACGCCGACCCTCTGCCCGCAGGAGTCAAACACCCACTGCCTGTCCAAACAGCTCCGCAGGACAGTCCTCGGCCCAACCCCGGCCCCAACCTCTTTCCGCCAGGTGCTGTCCTCCCCGCGAAAAAGTGCGGTCGGTGTCCCCACCCCACCCTGCCCAGGCTTCTCGAACTTTGAAGCAAAGTTATTCGAGGGCCTCGGGAGAGTCGTGGAGCTTGGGGCGGGTATTCGGAGGCTGAGGCCAGCCCCTGGAAGAGGACACTCARAGTGGTCTCCCCAACCCAGGCCCACGTCCGTCGTGGGTCCCGTGGCCTCACCTGGGCTCCCAGAGGTTGTGCGCTCCTCTCCCGCCGCGACTCAGGGGCTCTCTAACTGCGCCCCCCAGCTCTGCCCCGCCTGCCGCGCGGCCCCGCCCCGGCTCCAGCCACAGCCCCCTCCCCCGCCGCCTCCCCGCCCGGTGGCCGCCAGCCTCCTCATGTGACGCGGGAACAGCTGCGGCCTGAGTCACCACGGTCAGCCAGGGGAGGGCCGAGCCCCCCGCCCGGCCAGGGCCACGTGGCCACTAACCCAGAAGACAGTACCCACCCCCGAAAGGGGAAGGCACTCAGGGCAGCACTTCACCGCGCCCGGGGCCCTTGTGGAAGCCGGACGGAGCGCCGCCGGGTTCTCTTTGATTCTTGGAAGCAGAGGAGGCGGGTAAGAGCCAAAGGAAGGATGGTCGACCCAGAGTTGCCCTCTAAGCGCCCAGACGGCAGAGCTGAGGCAAAGTGAAAAGGTGGTCTGCGAGAGGCGTCCTCATCCTTCATCGCCCAGAGCCCACCCGGATCCTCCTCGCGCTTTCTGTTTTAAGCTCCCGCCCCCATTCTCGGGTCTGCAGAAAGCTACGGGCTGCCTGGGATCGGGTGGGGCCAGAATAAACACTTCCAGAAAGTCCCTGGCCTCAGGTCCTGGGAGTCTCCCAACATTTCTAGCCTGCGTGGAGGGGCGGCGGGGAGGTTCATGTCCCCTTCTGTGAGCACAGTTTCTTCGTTTTCCAGGGCTCTTGAACTAAGAAATGGGGAGGAGGCCTTTATCCAGGACCATCCTACTCAATTAATATATGTCAAATGTCGGGTCCCTCCCTCTGGGGGGAAGATTGAAAACCTGTACTCCCCTGCTCCGGATCATACCCTTATATGAGGATGTGGGGGAAGATACTAGACAAGGGAGGTTTGTATCTTCTGAATTTCCCCATCTCATTCTAGCAGACAGCCCTTCTCATCCCAGAAGGCAAAGCTAGGTGTGACTGTAAGGCGGGGGTGGGTTCCAGCTGCCTCCCTGCCTGTGTGCCACTAGTGGTCCCTAGAAAGCGCTGGTATGAACAGGCTAAAGGATATACAGGACCAGACAGACTTCACACTCCCAGTCTGGGCCCCACACACACACACTTAGGTTCTTAAGGTTCTGCCTCAAGAGCCACTTCCCTTAGTTTGGGGGGATGGGGTGCACAAAGAAGGAAACCATAAGAGCAAAGAGAAGGCATCCACCCTTGGCTGAGAACTAGTTACCAGGATCACACCCTTCCAGCAGATTATACCAATCCCATTGTGGACCTTGCTTCCCTTATCATGGCAGGCAGGCTGTGGAGGAGGAGTCAAGATGCCAAAGAAAGGAGTATTTATCAGGTTTTTTGTTTGAGGATTTTTTTGTTTGGTTGATTGGTTTGGTTTGGTTTGTTTGTTTGTTTTTTGACCTGCCATTAGATGCCAGGCATGTGCTAGGCATGGGGCAAAAAGGAGAGAAAGACAGCAGACCTGCCCTGTGCTTGGAGGCAGAATCAAGTTCTGTCCATCGTGAAGAAAGGTAGAAGCCCCTGGTGCAGCTGGATGAGCTCAGAGGGACAGACAGGGAGTAGGAGAGGGAATTTCACAGAGATGGATGAAATAAAGAATAAATGGCAAGCTTTGAGTTCCAGAGACAAGGAGAGGGTCAACTGTAAAAAATATTTTTTTGTGTGGGGGCGAGGGTGAACCCAGGGGTGCTTGCTTTATCATTGAGCTATATCCCCAGTGCTTTTCTTTTTGAGGTAGGTTCTCACTAAGTTGCCCAGGGTGACCTGGAAGTTTAGATCCTCCTGCCTCAGCTTCCTAAGTCTCTAGAATTAAAGGTGTGTGCCACCACAGATGGAGAAAGGGATAAATTTTAAAAGTATATGGCAGGGGATGAATAAATAAATGAGTTGTAATCTTTAAAAAAGTTATATGACAGGTTGGGTTGGAGTTGGCTGGCTCCAAGGGCTCACAAAGAATGTGGGAAAGATGGATGGGAAGATGGTCTGAAGATCAAGGTTGACTGACCTGAGGTACATGGTACATAATAAGCAAGTACAGTGCTTGGTCCTTTATTGAATCTT